ACTGTGCAACAGCAACAAGAACTTACTGTATTTCGGAATTTCTCAATCAGCACAAAACGACCCTTCTGGCCGGTCGCATGTGCGAGGGCGTAGATGATCTGGGCGCATGTTGTGCTCTCCGTTATTCCAGAAACACTTCGTTCCACACCGTCCACGCTTACCCTCAGTTCCATCTATTATCGTACAATAACTGTAATTTAGGCCGAATCACACTGCGAGCCAAGCAATCAGCAGATACGGAAAAAAAGTGGCGCCGAATAAAATTACGCTCTGAATTTGGGAAATAGGTGGATTTAAGAGAGGGAGGGGGCAAAAGGTGTTTCGCGCCTCCCCTCTCTCCAGTGGCACATGCACCAGTGTTGCAGAAGCCCGGATATAAAGCTAAAACTGAAGTAAACTAAAGTCTAAAGTAAGCTGGCTGTAGCGTCCAGGTTAACGCTAAAAGTCGAAGTAAGGAAGGCGTATAAGATACAGAACAGAAAAGAATATGGAAAGGAAGAAGGAATGAGGTAAGACGTTTCGGTCCATTAAGCCATATAAGTCTTAGCTCAACACCACAACTAACTGTAAGTAGCAGTGCGTTACAACTCTATTCCTAGTTTTTGCATAGTTCCACGGTGTGGGAGGGGATTGTCTTCTCCAACTCCCGTCGCTCCGCCCAGCAGCCTTATTCTTCTTTTCCACCCCTATCGCCCCTCCCCCCAGGAGTCCATCTTAGGCCCGCCTACGCGCTCTCCGGATGCTGTGCTGATAATTCTCTTCGGATATCGATGATAAATGAAAGCGGATTTAAAACAAAAGCAGATGGCGGTTAGGCTCGGAGCTCCCAGGTGCCGCTGTGAGTGCCCAGCTATACCTCCCCTGGCTGTGACATACTGCCTGGCTGCCAAGGAGCAGGATCAGCACGGCTGAGGGACAATCAATCGATTCATTCTACATTTTATAAATTCTGTTTCGCGGTAAACGCACGAAGCAAATCATTCGAAAACCAGTCCCATAAGCACTCACATTTTCCAGTACTGTTTGCTTAGCTTTTTTGTGCCTGAAGTCACATTTTAAAAAGATGCACACACACATACATACATACATACATACATACATACATACACACAAACATACATAAATACATAAATAGATACATACATAAATACATATATACATAAATACATACATAAATGCATACATACATAAATACATGCATACATAAATACGTACATACATAAATACATACATAAATGCATACATACATAAATACATACATACATAAACACATGAATAAATACATACATACATACATAAATACATACATACGGAAATACATACATACATAAATACATGCATACATAAATACATGCATACATAAACACATACATACATAAATACACACATACATAAATACATACATAAATGCATACACACATAAATACATACATACATAAACACATACATACATAAATACATACATACATATATACATACACACACATACATACATACATACATACATACATACATACATACATACATACATACATAC